AACACAGATAGTCCTTTTGCAGTTCTAGGCTAACACAGATAGCCCTTATACAGCAGTTGCTGCTGTCATTGCTTTTCTGCACCTGAACAGAAGCTGATATTTGAATTTAAAACTTAACACCACTTATGTTAACAGTTCCTAAAAAAAAGGAGATTTGTGAGTAAAAATTTCGCAATATGTATAAGACCCACATAAGGGAACCGTAGTATAACTAAATAGCTACAGATACTCCATGTTCATGGTTAAGAAGACTAAATAGCATCAAAATGTCTTCCCATCTCAGTGTGTGTCCTAGCTTGTTTCCTGGTCCTCTGATAAAATACCCTGACGAAAGTGACATGGAGGAGATAAGGTTTCCTTGACCCACAAGTCCATGGTACAGTTTATAACTATGGGAAGTCAAGGCAGCAGGGGGTTGAAGCAGTTAGTCACAGCCACAGTTGAGAGCAGAGAGAAAATAAAGGCCTTCTGGTGTTCAGTACAGGATCCCCACGCTTGGGGAGTGTGATTCCTACCGTGGGCACAGCTAGTTTAATAAAGACAACTCCCCAAGCCATGCCCATGGGCCAAGCTGATGTAGACAGCCCCTCATTAAAACTCCATTCCAGGGCTGGAGAGATGGCTCAGAGGTTAAGGGCACTGACTGCTCTTCCAGAGGTCCTGAGTTCAATTCCCAGCAACCACATAGTGGCTCACGGCCAGCTGTAATGAGATCTGGTGCCCTCTTCTGGCCAGGAAGCATACAGACAGACAGAACACTGTATACATAATAAATAAATAAATCTAAAAGAAAAAACAACAAAAAAACTCCATTCCAGATGATTCTAGATTATACCACATGGACAAAACCAGTCATCACGATGTGTGAGTTCAATGCAACCCCAACTAAAGTCCCTGCAAGTAATTTTGTAAGCACCAAAAAAACTAGGCCCAGTGTTTAAATGGAGAGCTGAAACAGGAAGACCAACCAACACGGACTGTAGAGGAGTAGATCGGAGGACTAACAATACTCGTCTGTTTTGTTAGACAAAACCATAGTACATGGTGCTGGTGAAAGAACAGACAGACAGATGCTTGGGACAGAACAGAGTCCAGAAAAGGTGCACATAAAATATAGTTTGTTAATATTTGGCAAAGAAGCAAAAATATCTTTTTGAAGCAAGTTAAAACAAATGGACACTTATGTGTGGAGCAGGGGAACCTAGACACGGACAAAAATTAACTCAAAATGAATACTGTTCCAAGTGTAAAATGCAGAACTATAAAAGTTCCAGGGGATTACATGGCCTTGTGATTTGGAGGGCACAAAATCATAGTTTGTAAAATTGGACTTCATTAAAAAATTTAAATTATTCCTTTTATTTTTAATTTTTTAGATTATAATATAATTATATCATTTCCTCCTTCCCTTTCTGAACCCTCTGAACCCTCGTATACCCTCCTTGATCTCTTTCAAGTTCATGACCTCTTTTTTTACTAGTGGCTTCTCTCTCTCTCTCTCTCTCTCTCTCTCTCTCTCTCTCTCTCTCCCTACATACAACCTGCTCAGTTTGTATATGTGTGTGTACATATATGTGCTTTCAGGGATGACTGTTGGGTGTTGGAAGCAAACTCATGGATTCTTCTTGGGGAAGACAATTTCTCCCACTCTCAGCGTTCCTTGGTGGCCTGTGTTCTTTATGTGGGGTTGAGATATCCTGGCTTCTTCCCATGCCCTGACCTCCCTCCCCTGGTCAGACGAACGTGTATATTGTTGTCTTTGTTCAGCTCCTGTTCAGGCATCGTGCTGGGGAGACTTTATGGGTGTGACCTCTGACATTTCTAAGAGACACAATCTCACAGCAAACTCCCTGTTTCTCTGGCTCTTAACGATCTTTCTGACCCCTCTTCTTGAGCCTTAGGCATAGGAGTTGTATTGTAGATGCACCCAGGGAGACTGGACTCGACAGCTCTACATTTTGTCTGGTTGTAGTTTTCTGTAACACTCTCTGTCTTTTGCAAAGAGAAATTTCCTTGTTGTGGGGTGGAGACCACACTTATCTGTGGGTATAAGGACAAATACTTAGACTGTTGTTGGGGGCTGTGCTGGTTTAGTAAAGCAGTGGCTTTAGGTTTCCAATACCAGGCATGGGTTCCCTCTTGTTCAGTGTGTTTTAAGTCCAAGTAGAGAGCTGTTGGTTACTACCACAGTATGCACGCCACTACTGCACTCTTTAGATACCACACTAGTACCATGCTAGTTCTTGTTCATTAAAAAATTTAAATTCTCTGAAAAACACAATGCCAAGAAAATGAGAAAACAAGTCACAAACAGGGAGAAAATACTTGAAAAAGATGTTTTCTGGTGGGCCTTCTGATTGATATATCCAATACCCCTTTCTTGAATCCTTGAATCTAAAGCCAGAACCTCGTGGCCCCAAGTGCTTCTTCTCGCTGAGCCCGGAGCATTGCCCCTTCAGTCAATTAATCTGCACCAGCTTTCTGTTTTTGATGGTTTCCTTCACTTCTTATGTTTTTTCCTTAATTCCCTTTCACAAGTGGGAAGGTTAGCTGGGTGGGGTCTTGTCCTGAGGTCACTCCCTCATTTCATTCAGTGTCAGACTTTTCTTTAATCTGTGAGGTCACTCCTTTTATTCCATTAAACATAAGGATTTTCTCTAATCTGCTTTTCTCCTTGAGTTCAGAACTTAACTTTATTACACTTCCTGGTGCCCCTTTCCTCCTCAGTCTGTGCATATTTAGTATCTTCCCTTGCTCAGTTTGGTTCTTTTCATTAGAGATCTGCAGAATAAAAACTATGTCATAAAATTCCAGTGACAGAATTTAAGACATGTATGTGTATGGATGTTTGTCTGTACATATAACTGTGTGTTACCTGTGTGTCTAGTGGATACAGAGTCCAGAAGAGGGTACTGAATCACCTGGGACAGGATTTATAGATGGTTTTGAACTAGCATGTGGGTACTAGGAATCAAACCTGAGTTCCCTGGAAGAATGGCCAATGCTCTCAACTGCTAAGCCATCTTCAACCTTCCCCCCCCCATATAACCTTTTAAAAACTAGACAAAAGCACAATATTTGGCATATGTATATATGTATGTATGTATGTGTGTATATAGATACATATTATATATTATATATATATTAGTGCAATATAAAAAGAAAAGCAACAGAGTGATTCCTACAGAGATCAGGACTCTGGTTCCCTGTCTGTCTTTGTCAGAACTATCTACCCCAAATCTACTGAGAGTTGATCAGTGGGGGCTTTACCCAGAATCTGCACTTGAAGATTTAATAGCGTGTGATGAGTCTGTTGCTATCATGGGGTAGATTTCCAGCCCCTGTCTGTGGGATGAGTGGGGCTTGTCTGTGGTCTGAATACACGGACAGGAGGAGCATTTCCAGCCCCTGTCTGCAGGACGAGCGGGACTAGTCTGTGGTCTGAATACACAGACAGAAGGAGCATTTCAGGACCCCCTAGGTTGACTTCAGCTCTACTCTACCCCTTCCTTGCCTCACAGTTCCAGGTGCCTAGGATTTAGAGACCCTCCTTCCTTAATCAAAGGGCCTACAGTTAGTTACCATGAAATTGGGTAGGTTGGCAATCAATTCACCCATTCCAGGCAGAATGCTTCGACTCTTCCAATAAGCCACAGCTTGCTGGTAGGGAATGTCATATCTGAGTTCAGGGAAACTGAGATACAGATGTGTTTCAAAGGATACACAACATCTGTGAGTCCCCACATCACCCCACTGCCATTAAATTTTATTTGGAAACCAATGTAATTACTGTAATCTTTCTTATTCCATGCATAGCACTTATCTTATTTTGAAAGCAACTCCCTGGAGAAACACTCATAAATCCTGCTGAAGTAATTATGAACTTAATGTTTGAGCTTTGCATGCAGAGATGAAAATGTTACCCTTTTATGACAAATCAAAGCACAAACAAATCCCTAAAGACTGTGCAAAATTTCAACTCGGGTTGATTTAATGGGAATATGGGGTGAGGGTGGGGTATGGGAAGAGAAAAAAGGAACAGAACCTTAAGAAACCAAATGAAAATTAAATCTGGAGGCTCTGCATGATTGCTGAGCCTACACACGTGTAACTTGTTTCTCCCCCCGGGCTTTCTTTAGGACACCATTGCCTAGCTGCTCTGCCTACGGTGCTCTACCTGGCCAGGCTGGTTCCCAAGAGGCTGCAGATGGCAAAGGTCAGTTCATGGTCAGTTCCCCGAAGCACAGTTCTTTCAGGCCTTTTACCCCTACGTAGCTGAGGTAGACTGGTAAATGTAAGCTGTGTGGACAACAGGATCCTTTGGTAAGTGCTCATATCGTGATATGATTGCTGTGGCAAGCCTAATCAACCATTTCTCATAGCTGTATGTGTGTGAGACAGACAGACAGAGACACAGAGATAGGGAGACAGAGACAGTGTGTGTATGCGTTGGGTGTGTGTGCACTGGATGTGTGTGCATGTGTGGTGTGTATGTGCATATGTTTGTGTGTATCTGTGAATTTGTGTATGGTGTACCTGTACTCTTAAGTGAGGTATGTGAGTCCATATGTACATGCACGTTTTTGGTGTGTGCATGTTGCATTTCGCGTCTCTGGGGCAGACAGATGCTGGCTCTGAGGATGGTGAGCATGAGGAATCCTGAAGTACATGTGAGTCATTTGAGATGACTCACAGATGACAAGCCCTGGGCAGTCCGACTGGGCCTACTCCTGAAGTAGGGGGCGGGATCCAGGATTCTTTGCTGCACTCAGGCTCTGGCTGGTTTGGGTTCTTGCCTCTGCTCCTTGGCTCTGATCTCCCTCAGCACCCAGGACTCTGAGCACCCTAGGATTCCAGTGGAGTCAGGAAGAAGTAAGACTCTTGGTGGTGTCTGGCATGATGGGAGGAGGCTCACTCACTGCCTCTGCTTCCCCACGGGGAAGTACCCGGCTGAGATCTCTCTTGACTTGGAGCTCTGCTGCCTTGGCTGGGACACAGGGCAAGTGAAACGGAGCCTTCTGGCCTTCCTGGGCATCTGCTGTGGAGTCTTTCCCTTCAGTGTTGCGGTGGAAATTCCCTCTGGGCATCAGGATTCCCACAGAGGTCTTCACATCAGTGGCTGGAATCCAGGCTTTCATGTCGGGCTTTGCCAGGAGTGATGGCAGATACCCCCTTCCACCATCTTCTCGCATTTTTCTTTTCTACTCTGGGTTCGTGGTTGTGGCCCATATGGCTTCCACTTGCTCAAGAAGGTCAGGTTCCTCTCACAAGAAAGTAAAAGTGACAGTTACTGTGGGGTGTCTCCCCCTCCTGCAGCCAGAGCCCAGCCTCATTGACAAAGTGCTAATACTCTGAGTTATGCTAGGCATGATGACCTCAGAGGAGACCCACGGCTGGGGTACTTGCTGCTCAGCACTGTTTGCTAGTCTCCCCACTAGAATATGACATTAAATCCCCAACTCCAGTTTTTTTTCTTCTTTATTAAACCAAAGAACGCATTTCTTCATACAAATGCCAAGATGTTGTTCTGTGGGCTAGCTGCCCACGTGGTGTTTCAGGGCTACAGACTCTCTTCCTCTTCAATGCTGTTAACCCTCAGCACCCAGACTCTTTGGTCTCGACCTCTGGTGAGGTGTGAGGGGAAAGGAAGGCATAGCAATCCTTTCCTTGCAGCCTGAGGATGGTTTTCCTTCCTCATGTACAATGTGAAGTCGGTGAGCTCAGCTCAAACATCTTGAGGGGTCAATTCCATCCTACCAACAGCTGCACCCTGGAGAAGGGGACAACTGCCATCTTGTCACCAAGTCTGACTTTGAGAAGCAAACAGAGAGAGGGTCCAGCATAATGGCCATCTCTCAGAGCTGAGTCTCTGCAGCATTCATAAGACTGATTAATACAATCACAAGTGATGGTTGATAATATATTCTGGTATTCTGCCCATTTGGGGAGCTGTTGAAAGTGGCAGTGCGCCAATGGGGCAAGCTGGGTGGTGGAGGGTGTTACTCGGCAGCCTGGTGGGTGGGTACAAAGGTTTCCAGTGTTGTGGTTGGGTGGTTCCGCTGTCCTGCTGTTTGGAGAAGAGACCAAGATGGAGTTTCAGTGTTCCGCCATGACTCGCCGATGGTGATAACAGGAAATGTAGCCATTCACCTGGTGGTTAATCAGGCAAGACTTTATTCCCTTTACTTTAGAAGGCAGTTGAAGCCCACAGCTTAGACAGGCCAAACTCACACAGGTGACGGTAAACATCTGCTCACATCGTTTACAACAGCGGTTTTCAACATGTGGGTCACGACCCCTCGGGGGGCCGGGTGTGTGTGTGTGTGTGTGTGTGTGTGTGTGAAACAGTCCTTTCACAGGGGTCTCTTAGTAGATAGATTGCTTATCAAATATTTGCATTATGATCCATAACAGTAGCAAAATTACAGTTATGAAGTAGCAACAAAAATGATTGTATGATTGGGGGTCGCCACCACATGAGGAACTGGGCTCACGGGTTGGCACTTTAGGAGGGCGGAGAACCACTGGTGTATGGGAAGATAAGCCGGCAGTGCCTCACACCTGAGGAGAGCAGCGCCATCCCCTTCCACTCACATGACTGTTTGTGTCCTCTAGAGCACCATCTGAACGTGGTAGACTGAGGTCTGGAGACTGCCAGTCAGGTCCACAGCTGGGCGGGGCAGGTCCACAGCTGGGCGGGGCAGGTCCCAGAGGAGATACCGTGAGCAGCGGTATTAATCAGTATGCCCTGTGTGGCTGTTGTGCCTCATCTCCCCCATCTCTCTTTCAAGGCCTTATGTAGACCAAGTTGACCTCAAACTGTGTAACTAAAATCCTCCTGCTCCTACCTCACAAGTGCTGAGATTATAGGCATGCACCGTTATACCAATGCCATGCGGTATTGGTGATCCAACCCAATCTAGGCAAGCACTCTACCAAACAAGCCACATCGTCAGCCCATGCTAGGCACACACCCTACCAAACGAGCCACATCACCAGCCCATGCTAGGCAAGCACTCTACCAAACGAGCCACATCACCAGCCCGGATGAACTGTTTTTGTGTGTATTTGGGTATGTGATGGTGTGTGTGTCTGTATCTAGATAGTATATATGCGTGTACATGTATACAGTTGAATGTACACGAGTGCATACACATGTGAAATCCAGAGACTGATGTCAGGTACCCTTCTCAGCCACTCTGTACCTTACTTTTTGGGACAAGGTCTCCCACTGCGCCTAGATCTCACCGATTCAGCAAGGCTGATTGGCTAGTCCCGCTATCTCCACCTTCTCAGTGACAGGGTTACAGGCATGTGCTACTATGCCAAACCTTATTTTCCAGATTTCATGCATATTTCACATATATCAATTTTTGCATGTGTGCATATCTGTGCAACATGTGTATGCAGTGCCTGCTGAGGCCATAAAAGGGCATTGGATCCCCTGGGACTAGAGTTACTGATGCATGGAGCCATCATCTGGGTGCTAGGAATTGAACCCAGAGTCCTCTGCAAGAGCAGCCTGTGCTTTCAGCCACTGAGCCGTCTCTCCAGCCCGCTGTGCCCAACTTTGTGTGGACTTTGGGGAGCTAAGCTTTTATTCTTGGGCTTACTCTGCAGGCACTTTATCAGCTGACTCATCTCGCCAGCCCCCAAGATGGACTGCTCTGAAGTGTGACTGAGGGTCATCATAGGACAGAGTTCAGTCCTGTTTGTCTGTCCACGCTGACATGGCTCTTCTTTCACATTGACTTTCGTCCCAAGTGTTGGATTCAGTAGTGGCTTTTGGACTTGAGTCCCTAGACGGAGCATATGGCATCACAGACCTAGCAGCTTTCAGAGTCAATGAACAGAGCAGTAGCCAATAAAAATCAAGTTTCCTGAAACCCAGTAAACAAACGTTTCTGCTTAGTCTTTGCTGTATGGATTAGTCTATGCTACTGTGTCTTATCAGACAGCTTCTGGCCAGCTCTCTGTCTGCCCCCAGACAACTCTGTGACAGGACACATATCCACAGTAGACTAGTCTCTCTCACTTTCGCTGTTTCAGGAGGTATAATTTGCACTGGGAAGATTTTATGTGTATGAACGCATCAAACCTGGGATGCTATGGTGTGGATAAGATGTCATTGGGACAGTCGCTACACAGAACATAATCTCGAGTCTCTGAAGAGTCACCCGGACTCCTCCTACAGTACACACTCTTTCACAAGGATGAGAATGTTCAGGACAATATCAACACAAATCAAGTAATAGATGTGAGAGATGGCTCAGCATTTGAGAGGACTAGCTGGTCTTCTAGAAAACCTAGGTTTGAGGCCCAGCACTTACATGGTAGATCACAACTGCCTGCAACTCCAGTTCCAGGGGATCCAAACCCAATTCTAGTCTCTCTGGGCACTAGGTATGCAAGTGTTACACATATATGCAGATAAAACACCTATATGTAGAGAATTTAAAAATAAATAAAATAATGTTTGAAGGGGAGAGAGGTGTGATCTGCTGTGTGATTTCGACAATGTGCACAACCATGTAGTGTCCTTCATTTCCTCCTTCTCCTTCAATCCCATTTTAATTCTTCTAGGACACATTCTCCCTGCTGAAACCCCAGAAAGCAGCAAGAGCTAGCAAGAATGTCTTGTAAGTCATGTTTCACCAACCAAGTCCATTTTCAACACAAGGGATACTAACACATAAAGATGATATTGCTTTTCCGTTTCCTGTCACACTTGGGTTAAGTCCCGCTTCCTTACCAAAGGCTACAGGGCCGTGTTGGCTATGACCCCTGTGTCCTTCCTCAAATCTCCTCTTCATTTCATTCACTGTCTTCCAGCTGCATCATCTTCACTCAAAAATGTGCAAACACCAAGCCAGTTTCTGCCTCAGGACCTTTGTGTCTGCAGGAACAGTTACCCGAACTCTGCTTTCTCTGTGTTTGTCTGTCTGTCTGCCTTTATCTGTCTAAAGCATAAGCTTCCTGCAGACAACTCCTGTCTGAGCCTTCAGGATCTTGAACAGACGCTCCCTGTGATAGTTGGTCCTGATTGTCAATTCGATTGGATTGGGAGGTGCCTAGGGGATTAGACAAGAACCCTTCTGGGTTGGCCAGGACATGGTAGTGAATACTTTGAATCCTGGCACTCAGGAGGCAGAGGCAGGCAGGTCTCTGTCACAGGCTGTCCTGGACTGCCAGCCCCAAATCATGACACAGAGACGTGGCCTCATCTTATGTTTATCCCGCTAGCTCTTATAACTTAATTTCATCTGTTTCTTTTCATCTATGTTTTGTCTTGGGGCTTTTTACCGTTCTTTCATTCTGTATGTCCTACTCCATGTCTGTCTGTCTGGCCTAGGGCATCTCCCTCTCTTTTAAGCTGGTTCTCTCCTCCCTTACTCCCCCAAGCCTAGATTCCTCTTCCTACTTGTTCTCTCTGCTCAGCAGCCCCACCTATCCATCTACTGCCTAGCTATTGGCCCGTTAGATTTTTATTAGGCCAATCAGGTGCCTTAGGCAGGCAAAATAACACATCCTTACATCATTAAACAACTATAGCATAAATAGATATAGCACTTTCTCATAGTTACAGTAATATTCCACAACATAAACAAACGTAACACATCTTCACACAGTTAAATTAATATTCCACAACACATCTCTAAGTTTAAGGCAGCCTGGCCAACAGATTGAGTTTCAGGGCAGCCAGGGCTACACAGAGAAACTTTGCATCACAAAACCAAACCAAACCAAACCAAAACAGAGTCTTCACAAACTCCCCACTTCCCACTTGCTGACTCTGTTTCCTGCGCATCTGTGGAAAATGTGACCAGTCAATTTCCTGCCTGCATGCTGTACTTCCCTGGCCACTAAGGACTCTCCCTCTGGAACCAAGCCAAAATAAACTTTCTTCCTTAGGCTGCTTTTGGATATAGTATTTTTATTACAGTAATAGAAAAGTAACTAATTTACCAGACAAACCCTGAATATGAAGCATCATATTTATATTGTTTGAATAAGTGATGGTCAGTGTGATCTGGAGGGAGAAGGGAGGGAGCTGGTAGATTGCTGATTCTGTGAGGGCAGCTAGGGCCCCGGATGCAGGAAAGATCTTTTTTTTCATTTCTTACTAAGGTGGACGTCCTATGGGTCCAAGCTCTGTTACTTCTATTTGTATTAAGCCTTGGGAATCTGTTCCCGTGGGCTGCTACTGGAACACCTTCAAAGCTCTCTCTCCTAAGGTTGGGGCACCAACTGAAGACTATAGCAGATGAGTTAGGGCTTCCCTGAAGAAAGGGGCTTTGGGCACAAGGGTTGCTGTGACACAGAGATACCCCCTTACCTGTCTCTAAGCCCCTCTGTGCTCTTACATCTAGAAATGGGCCAAGAGGAAGGTTTTCACACCTCTCAGCTCTACAGAGAGAACACAGTTATGAAATCTGCCCACCAATCCCACACGAGACCTAGCTCTTCTTCTCCGTGATTGCACACAGTCTCCCATCCGTCAACCTTCCCTGTGTTGTTTCTGCTCACTTCACTCATTGGATGTCACCTGGAGGGGGCTATTGCTCCTCCAACCATCTTCCCTGAACTGTTGTTGGCCAGGGTCAGAGCTCACCATTCCCCTTCCGATAGAAGCATTTACAGTCTTGGAAGGGGAGAAGGGGGTTCCACAAAGCCTTGCAGGGGAGCCTGCATTGCTTCTCCTGGGGCCATCCTGGTTCGCCTGCCATCACTAACAAGCAAGCTGATCTGTGAGATCTGAAAACAGGCAGCGAGCATGCAGGGCCCTCTCTTAACATTGCTCTCACCCTCAGGTCTTACCATGACCTTGCCAGCCACCACCGCCCCAGAGTGCGTAGGGCAGAAAACAGAGTGGCTTGAACTCACCTCTGGGCTTCCACGTAGACTTGGGGTGTGAGCTGGTGTGAGCTGGCATATCAGGGGGGAGTGTGTCTAACACTAGGAATTTATCATTTTCTGGTTAATTTGCATGTTTTGTGGTGAGAAAAACCTATATTTCTTTTAAACTACAGAGAAAGAGGAAAAAAAGATAATATTGGCCACCAATCAATCTGGGCAGTGATCTGCTCTTGGCCTGGAGTTGAGATCCCACCATGTTGATGATGACCTTTGCCAAGCAGCCCCAAAGAATCCCAGGATGGGCCTCCTGACTCAGAAACAACAGCCTCCCTTCCAGGTGTTGGGAATTCTGTTTAGCTGTTTCAGTTTCCCTGGTCTAAATTAGGAAACTGACCAATAAATAGTTAAATGTGTTTGCCGGAAAATATTCAAGTGTAAGGGCTACAGTTTCCAAATTCCCTGCAGAGCCTGGACCCAGGGAACCTTGGCAGCCAAGCCTGTTGTTAAGAAGGTCACCAGATGCCATCTGTGACTGTGTGACTGTGTACACTTCCCTGTTGGAGGATGGCATGGGCTGGGGCTGCTGCAATTCATTTGCCCATGAGTGTAAGGTTGGCACCCTGTGGGCACAGCAGAGACTTGGGTAGGCTATGTGAGGAGACCAGGGGTCTGCCCCCAACAGGACTGAGCTACATGACTGAAGACAGGAAAAGAGGAAACATTATTCTTGGGTCTGTCTTTAATTACAGCTCAAACATATTTTGGGAATGTTCACGCATGGCTTTCCTAAATTTTCCTGATGTTAGTCACCTTTAAAATATGGCAATAGCTCTCTTGTAATTGTTAAGGCAGATAAATGAATATTTTACTCACAACTTAGAAGTTAATGAATACGATAACCAATTCTAGAATTTGCTCGTGGACTTTATAACTGTTTACTTTTTGCCTTATCAGAATTTCTGATTTATTTTTATTACATTTTATTTATGGGGAGGAGCACTGCCATGGTGCATGTGTTGTGGTCAGAGGGGCACTTTCAGGAGTTCATTCTCTCCCACTCTGTGGGTCTTGGAATCTAGCTCTTGCTTCAGGCTTATCAGAAAGTACTGTGGCCAACTGAACCATTTCGCCTCCTGAATGGCTATTCACTTATACGTGCATGTGACTCTTTGCTGGACTTTTAGGGGTAAATTAAAGTATTTTTATATGTGTGTTTGCATGAGTCTTCCAAAGGTCGGAATGCTTCCATGTCTAATGATCCTGTTATCATACCCCCAAACTTTACCAATAACAGAACAGTGTGTATCTCACACACAGACTGCTGAATGCTCAATTCTTAGAAATCTGCCATCTGCCCCAATGGCTGACAACTGTCTAAGTGAAACCTGGTACTTTTGAGACTCTTTGAAAAACCCCATGAAAGCTCTGGTCTTTAGGAAAAAATTCTCCAGACAGATTTAATGCCCCTATAGCAGCCATCTTGAATCTTTAGAGGTTTTCGTGGACCTCAGGTTAAGTGTTGGCCCATTGTTGATGCTCCTTGTAAGCTCCCCTTCTCTGGGTGCACACATACACCGTGCAGTCCAGGATGACAGGCAGTGCTTTGTCACCAAGTCCCACCACCATTTTGTGCTTCTGAGCCTTCATTTGAAGGAACTTAAAAGTTCCTTAAGTTTCCTTGAAACAGGTAAGAGCTACCAGCCTACTGACTGAAAACAGAACCACCAGCATCTCGGGCAGTTCTACCATGACAGACACCTGCGTTGCTGGGCTAAAGGATTAGGACAGGTGACGCCAAGACCCCTTCCAAACTGGAGCGGCTCCCACACAGCCACTGCAGGCGCTTACCAGCCTTCGCTTGCCTTCTTGACAATCTACTGTTAAAACTAAGTGCGTGTGGTGTTCAGAGATAGCCAGTTTCTGAAGGTAAAATTTGTTGGCATTCACTGAGATAGTCTCACCAACGACAACTTCCCATTTGGTTGTGGCTCTACATCTAGGAAGCGGGGAGGTGGACGGAGGCTAATAAATTAGGGTAACGGTAAATATCCTTAATTAAAAAGTGGAGGTCAAGTTTCACTCTTTTGTCAAGTGTGAACGTGCAAGGAAAAATGACTAGCCAAGCATATTCCCAAAGATGAGCTCTCACTGTCCTTCTCCACAAAGTCTGCAGAAACAAATGGATTATGGCGATGGTTGCGTAACTCGGTAAATTCACTTAAAACCTGCTCAGATGTATTGGGGAAAGTGGGTCTGAGGAGAGTATGAAAGCTGTAAGATACCCTGGAACATCCCAGAAAGTCAGGGAGAGTGCAGTTTGAGATTACTCCACAGCCGCAGTTCCCTGGGATTCAAAGAGTGCAGTGATCACAACATTCCAGACATGAACAGGCATGTCCCTCCCCAAAGCTCCTGAAGGTTTTACTGTGAATTTAAATGCCAGTCACCGTTTCCTCTCATAATGACTCTGTGGGCTGAGGGCTAACAGGGAACAAAGGTAGCTTGTGCGGGGTGGGAGTAGTCGTCTAACTTGAGAGCTAAGAAGTTTCAGCTTGACTCCCTCTGCATCTGCACACAGGAGGACACCCTGGTGTACCAAGACTCTCTCAGAACTCCATGCCCCACGTCAAGCACAAAGTGGTACGTTGTGACTCTTCCTAAAGGTCTTTTAATAGTGCATGTGAGGGATCGAATCCTGCGTAGTAGTCATAAAAAACAAACTCAGGGGGGTGAGTTTTAAAGGTGAGTATTCATTTATCAAACACTTATTTTTACATGTTATTGTGTAGCTTCCTATTAGATAATAAATGGGTAACCAAGCTTACCAATGTAAACAACCTGACAGGCTGAGGTGGCTACCACATTCCCCACATTGTCTCTTTTCTGCATGTGGCAGTAACCACACATAAGCTTGTAAGTCTCTTGACTGTAAACTCCCAAACAATGACGAGACTAGAAATAGAAACAACAGTGAAAACAAGATTTGGGTGCAGGTCAGCGGCAAAGCAATCCCTTGGCACCCCAGAAGGCCCTGGCTTCAAGTCACAGCATTTCAAAAGACAGAAAACAAGAGAAGTTCTCTCTCTTCCTCTGGGATGATAATTTACATTTTAGTCACACTTCTTACAAAAATCAATATGCATGTATATACATCTTATGTCTGCTTGTACATGAGTGTCTAATAAGTTGACCAGAATACTGGTTCTTGTACTCTGTAATCTACTTTTATATATCAATATTTTTGTGAACACCTTTCTTTGTTAATAAGCATAACCATTTGCTATCATAGTTAACGGACACATACATCCCTCTGATGGGATACATCACAATTTAAAAATGTCCCGTGTCTGCAAGCATTTAGCATTATTTTTCTTTTTCTATCTTTTTCTTTTTTCCTTGTTTCTATTTGCTAGACATTTAGGGGCTTTGTAGTTATAATTATTATTAACAGTGTTAGGAAAATAAAAAGTTGTCAAAAGCACATTAATGCAATGGTAAATTCATCTTAGTGCATTCCCAGGAGTGAAATTCTTGGGCTGAAAAGTAAGCTTGTTTTATTCATAGATAAATTGCCTTCCGGTATTAGCCACAGTGCTTTCCTATATTTTCACACCTGCTTTAATCTGAGCCTAGGGGCCTGCGATTCCAGCAAGCAAGAGAGCACACACACATAAGGAGGGTCACAAGTTCAAGGTCAACCTGAGCTGCACAGTGAGAGTGGGGTTTTTTCCTCAAAAGGTTGATGAAGATAATTATAACCTTAATGTTTCCCAATTTGATAGATGAAGATAGTTGCATTTTCTTTAACTTTCTTGGATAGATTAAGTATCTTCCCTTGTGTTTCCTAAATTCACGAACGTTTCTGTTAATAATAGTTGGTTCTCATTACTTCTAAAGCTCAACCGCACACTACATTAAGGACAGAACCATTGTTCCCACAGCAGATGGAAAGTCTGGCTTCTGCCAGCCTCTAGGCACAACGTTTTTGCCTCAACATAACTCTGCTTTAATGTATTTTTTAAAAATAAGCTTTATTATAAAACACTTGAAAATAACAAATTCAACACACTAATTTTTATATGTATTTTTCTGTTCAAAGACTTTTTCATGTATGCCAATTTATTAGCATCGAACTTGAGCCGATGGTGCTAACGTGGAGCTTACTTAGCGAAGTTCTTCCCTGAGAGGCAGGTGCACCGCTTCTTTGCTTAGGGGCCCCACACCCGCACTTCAGTGTGATGGTTGGGACCATTTTAAACAGCAAAGTCCCCAGGGAGAAACACAGAGAAGCAGAAAACGGAGGTTCTAAAGTGACCGCGAGAGGACACTTAATTACCTAGGAGGGCGCAGCCAAGGCTGCCCGGCCGCTCTTGACCTCTGCACGGCGTACATGACGGGATTCCATTCTTTCCCACTCTGGGCACGCTTCTCAGTGACCCCAAAAGTGCTGCGTTAACCTCAGGATCACACATAGATTTTAGCAAATGGGTGAATTCACAAACCTGGAATCCATGAATAATGAAGTAGGTATTTCCTTTGACCTTGTTTCTGTTGAGATAGTTGGGCTCCTTTATTGATTTTCATAAACTGTTTGCGTGTTAGGACTGGACAGTTTTGCCCAGCCTCACTTATAAGTACTTCGTCCAGTTTTGTCTTTTTATCCTACTGGTTATAATGGATTTTGATAGTAGTACCAAAAGGCCATTTGAATAAGGGTGGGAAAACAACTGATAGAGGGTTTTTGTTAGATGTTTATTATTGTGAAAATTGGTTGGTTGCAGTTGTGTGCATGTGTGTATGGTATATGTGTGTGTACAGGTACATATGCGTGTATGGTATATGTATATGTGCAGGTGCATGTATGTGTATGTTGTATGTGCATGTATAGGTACATATGTGTATATGGTATATGTGTATGTGCAGGTGCCTATGTGTGTATGGTATATGTGT